AGAAAAGGAGCACAGCAGGCAGGAAGAAGGGACAAGGTAACGAGAGCAGATTGCGAAACAAATGGTTAAAAAAAAAAAAAGAAAGAGAGAAAAAACAAGACCAACCTGAGGGGCACACTGAAACCATTCATTTTTCTCATTCTTCTTTGAACTCCCCCTTCACCGTTCCTCTCACGTACAAGGCTCGCCACGTTGATGAAGTTGAGCGCAAGCTGCCGGCATCCCCATGTGCCAAAACGGCCAACTTGTACGCTGTGAGAAAGAGGCAGAGTAAAGGGGGAGGGGATAAACACAGAGCAGAGAGATGGAGGGAAGACAAACAAAGAACGGCAAAGGGAAAGTACAGAATGTGGAATGAAGACGAAGGCAAAGGAGAGGATATACCTTACAGGAAGTCCTCTGCACATGAGCAAAAGCATATGCGCACACCGTCAATCGTTGACGAACGACATAGTGATCGCTTGTTGCCGCTACTGCTTGTCCTTCAAAAGTGCACGTGCCAATTTCTTCCTTTTAGCACTTTAGAAAAGAATGTCCTCTCCCACATCCTTTATCCGTTCTGTCAACCCAGACTCAAGGGCGACAATTCTAGTCGGTACACCAGGCTTGGCGTGCATCCCAGGCCGTCTCGGAATCGGCCGCCTGGAGTTTGCCGAGGAAGCTGTGACAGTTTTCCGTGGTTGATTACTCCTCGTTCTCGCGTCCTTAGCTCTTTCTGCGCCACGAGTCTTTGGAACTGACAAGGTCTTGCAGCCGGTATAAGTTTTTCCCTGTGGGACTTTTTCAGTTACCCTCGGCATTGTCATCCGGTTCTGATTTCTTCCCGGCGGAATTCCACCCCCTCCGTTTGGTGGCAGCAGTTTGGGCTCCACCCACACCTTCTCTTGCCCTTTTGCTGCATACTCGTTTAGCTGCTCAAGCCTCCTCAACTGCGGGTCAAGAACAGCTCGCATCTTTTTGTCCGTCGCCTCGTCTGGATTCTTGCCCGATTCCAACATCTGCTTGTATATTTTCTCTGCCTTGACGTATAATCTCGCCTTTATGTACATAAAGATCAAGGTGGTGAAGGTCACGGTGTCCGGCTTGACTCTCATCTTCTTCATTTCCTCCAATAGCCCAGAAGCCATGACCAGCTTGTTCGCTCGGGCGTACGCATTCATAAGCATGTTGTATTCGAGCGTGCCGGGCGCAATGGCTGACTGTTTCATCAATGTGAATACCGTTCCCGCTCGTACATCCATCCCTAGTTTACTGAACGCACCGAGCATCGCAATGAACGTGGCACGTGTCGGCTTGCAGTCCTGTTTGCACAATTCTTTCCAAAGGTTTTGCATCTCTTCCACCTTGCCGGCACGCCCGTAAGCATCCATCAAGACGCTGAACACTTCAACTGTCGGTCGAATCCCCTCCATCTTCATCCTCTCGAACTCCGCCATCGCCTTCTTTGTTAATCCCGCTTTGCTGTACGCATCAATTAGACCTAAATATGCCATCCCATGGGGCTGATAGCCTTGATCACGCATCGCATCCATAGTTCTTCCCGCTTTGTGAGACATTCCCACCCTTCCGTACGCACCGAGGAGTATGGCATATGTCACATCGTTCGGCACGTAACCTGCGTTCTGCATCCGTTTCTTCATGCGTTCAACGTCTTCGATCCTCTGCACTCTTGCATAAGCATCCATCATGGTGTTGTAAGATACCAAGCTGAGCTGGCAGCCCTCCTCCCGTTGAATTGTGTCTGCAAGTGACTCCATCGGCCCGAAAGCTTGCGCTTTGCCATACGCGTCCAGCAGCTGATTGTACATCATCAGAGTCGGGTGCGATCCACGAGCTTTCATCAGGTCGATAACCAGGGCGCCACCACGGGGATCGCCGCACCTTAGGAATGCCTTCATCAGCGAGCTATACATAGCCACATCGGCAATAATCCCTTCTTCTTCCATCTCCGCAAACAACCCCCTCACTCGCATCACGGCTTCTTGTGCAGGCTCCATCATCATTGGCTTGCCAGGCATGGACTTCTGACACTTCCCTTCACCCTTACCTCTCTTCAAGGCAGGAGAGCCCTCCATGGTCTCTGTCGTCTTTGACATTCCAGATGCCACAGCAGACACCATAGCTGTGTACGTCACAACATCCGGCCGGATTCCGGCAACCTTCATCTTCATGAACAAATCGAACGCGTTCCTCACTCTGCGTGCACACACCAAAACCAAAGAGTTTGCAGTCACAAAAAAGAAAAGTCTTTCAAACATTGAAAAGCCCTCCCATCCGCTCCCAGGGGTTAGGAAGAAGCTGTGGTGCTTAGACACAGGAGGAGGTTGGTGCCAACCCATAAGCTTGTGTGCATAGATATGCTGCAAGCCTGCAACAATCAATATTCAAAGATGTCTCTCTCTCTCTCTCTCTCTCTCTCTCTCCTGTCTCTTATACACATCTAGATGTGTATAAGAGACAGCACACACACACACACACACACACACACGCACACACACACACACACACACAGATATGCTGCAACGATCCATACTCAAAGCTGGACATAGATAAGAGGTTAGGTAGAGTGAGGAATGTTGCTTCGTTAAMAAAAAAAAAAAAAAAAAAAAAAAGGAAGATAAAATGTTGGGAAAAAAGAAAAAGTGGACCAAGAAAAAAAGATTTTGAGAAAAAACTACATAACTTGGGGAAAGAAAGGCACGGGAAAAAGAAAAAAAAAAAGGGAAATTTCCACAAGTGGTTAACAGGCACCCCACTTTACAGCCCATAAATTAACCCCCCATATTCTTTTTCAAAAAATATATATATGTATTTTGCCTTGTTTTATTTCTGGTCAAGGTTCATGCGTGCCAAGTTTGGTGTTTGTTGGAGACTTGGAGATGACTGTTTTGGCAACCCCTGAAAATCTGGGAAACCCTGAGAAACTGTGAAGGGTGACTTTTTCGCGAAAACACATCTTTGCCTTAGGTTTTAGACTCCTAAGGCCTTTTTTTTGGCCTTTTTTCCCCCTGCTATTAGCTGATTTGTTGGCCAATCTAAGGATTAAAGACTTGTTTGTTTTAACTTTTAAACCACCAGTACCCCAGGGGATCTAAGGCCCCCTCTGGGCAGTGGGCGCCGTCTGATGCAAATGCATATGGACCCACGCGGCGCACGGATTCAGCCACCGCGTTAACAGCCGAAGAACGTGGAGGTACTGGTGGTTTAAAACGTGTGAGAGTTTTGTTATCGTAATGACCTGCAAAATCACGGTCTGAGAACTCTGCTGTTTTCTGAGTTTTGCCGCTGGATTGTGGGACTTGCCGAGATTCCTACATATGTGGGTGTGTGCATGATTGCTGAGTTTTCGTGTGCTTGTCTGACTGCATGTTTGCTTGGGTGTGTGTTACATGCCTAGTTGGGCGATGTACATAATAAACCAAGGGTCCGCAATGTGAGCTAAAACCCTGGTCTGGTGCCTGAGTTTCAGGGCAGTTTGATCTTATGAGGGCCTGAAAATGGCCCTCAGTTTCAGGCTGAAAAGGCTCAAGGCCGGAAAGGCCCTGATTTAGGCTGAAACGACACAGGGACTGTAGGCCCTTGTTTTCAGGCTTTCAGGCTGAAAACAACCCGGGGCCTGTAGGCCCTTCGTTTTCAGGCTTTCAGGCTGAAAACAACACGGGGCCTGTAGGCCCTTGTTTTCAAGCTTTCAGGCTGAAAACAACACGGGCCTGAAAATGGCCCGTGCAGCCTATTGCAGGGACGGCATGTAACACCCCCCCCTCCTTATGAAGTCAAGCCGGGTCGAGGGTGAAGCTGACGGTCTGAAGGTGGAACCTAGACGCGGGTGCGACGTGGAGCCGAAGATACCGGCTTGCCTTGCATCTTGCGTTCGGGGTGCAGTACCCAAAGTGTACCAAGTAGGCGAGCCGAACTTGGCTTGAGAGATGAGCCCCATCATTTGATGAGTGCCAATCAAAAATCAAACATGAACCGAGTGTCGCGGTTGCAGACGATTTCCTTAGGGTAACCCTTGGTTCGAATCCAACCGGCGTAAAGAACCTCGGCCAATTTCGGTGCCTTGGCATGATAGTAGCAAGGCAAAAACATGGCGAACTTGGTGAGTCGGTCGACCACCGTAAGAATCCAATCCACACCGGTCTTGTGCTTGGGGAACGGCCCGATAATGTTCATGGTAATCGCTTCCCTCCGGCGCAAGGGGACCGGTAATGGTCGCAACTCGCCATACGGACGATGGTTGCGGGATTTGGAGCGTCGCCAAACCTCGCATGACTCGCAATAGCGTGTGACGTCGCCAAGAAGGTCGGGCCACCAAAAGCGCTCGCGAAGTCGATGCACAATCGTGGATCCTTGTTCTTCTTCCGTACGAAGAGAACCGGCGCTCCATATGGGAGCTACTAGGGCGGATCCAGCGCTTGTCCATCAAGTCATCGAGTTGCGCGCGGAGGACCGTAAGCTCCTCCTCGCCCATGCGGTAAATGCAACCTTTTGGCGGCACGGCACCGGCCTCAAGAATGATCTCGTGAGAGATCAGCCGATCCGACACTACACGGGGGTCCGAAGACAAGTCCGTGGGTGAAGAGTCGGCTACCGCGGCGGTCCGTAGGAAACATAGGCCGATTTCGAGCAGAGCAAACTCATGACTTGAGCACAGCCATCAGATACAGGCCACAATAGACCTTCTTTCAAGTACAGGTCAACACCATGTGGAATCGCTCAAGGACTCACTGAACAACATACTAATCACTGTCTGATCTCTAAGTATGGCATGATCTTCAGAGAAGAGAGACAGAGCTGACTGCAGTGACAATGGTTCTATGATTTGTCTGTTCGCTTGTGGCCTTGATGCGATAAAGAGCTCTCCTCTTCTCTCACATGATCCTCGATTTTGTCTTTGCCTTGAGTCGGCCAGTCTTGGTTCGTTTTGTTTGGCGTTGCTCGATAATTATGTTCTCTGTTGATCTTGTCATAGTTATCAAAATTAGCAAATTGGCAAAATTGACACATGTATGGCACACTTGAATCTCATGATTATTATTTGCATGATCTTTGTTGTTCTGGATCAAAATCAAAGATTCCTAAGACCGGGGACCGGCGAAGACCGCAATTGAAGGGTCTCGCTCGAAGCCAGACACACAACAAGAAGGGATTTGCTTTATTTAATTTATTTATTTATTGCAAACATCATCCAAACCCTGCGTGACAGCCTATTGGCTTTCTGATCGCTCGAGGTGGCCTGACTGGAAAAAGTGCGACACCGTGCCCTGTGCCCCATGCTAACCCGGTTGTCTTTGCAATGACCCGCACAACTACATACTGAGAAATCTGCATTTTGTGAGGACGTTGTTCACGATCTGCTCGCTGATGTTTCCAAGTCTGATTCTAGTATACTGTGTTGAGTTTGTTGAGTTTGCCGATGATGCAAGTATGTTGTGTGCTTGCTTGTGCCCAAGTTTGTGTCCCCGTGCTAACTTGGTTGTATGTACTGTGTTTCTTAGCCTTGGGCAGGGGTAGAGTAGGAATTAGGTGTAGTTACAGGAGCTGACACAAAACTTGGCTTCAAAGGGACCTACCCTAAGTTCTAGGAGGTTACGATTAGATGTGGAATTTGTTCTAGAAGGTTACGATTAGATGTGGAATTTGTAAGAGGCCAAGAAGGCCCAGGTAGGTCTGGTAGGGATTAGGAGAAATTAAGGTAGCTTCCAAAAGAGGTCGTGATGGTCCAGGACCGAATGTAGACAGATTGCAGGTTAAATCCAGGGCCTGTAGTAGAATTGTAGACTTCCATGATGTTTCTGTCAAAGGCAGGAACTTTCCAGTAGGCCTACCATCTTCACTGGAATAGAACGTCCGTTCATAATAGCCATATTTGGTGCACCTTTCGGTTTAGATACAGCAACAACACCAGGATATTATATTCGGGTGATGACGTTAGTGCACCCGTGGAGGCTGATAAGCATCTGGGGAAGAGCTACTGGAGGCCAAGAGTCATGTTATTCAGCGATGAGTAGGCCTACCATCATTATACTTGTATTTGGGGGACATCTAGATACAACAATATTTACCTTTCATTCTACTCGGGGGAAGACAGTAGTTGCATTGTCAATGGAGCATCCATCCAAGGTAAGTCATAGCCCTGAGCTTCCACAACCTCGAGCCATACCTCGGGACGGGTGTGATTAGGATAGAAAGGAAAGGGGTTGGAATGCTCACCATTACCTGGGGAGCAGGAACATTAGCATTGGCAATCTATTTCAAGTGACGGGAGGACTCCTTCGGTTTGAACGATCCAGAGCTCCTAGGAGAAGAGAGAGAGAGAGAGAGACAGAATATATATATTCGCTACTTCAATCCCGTCTCCGTGCCCCCATCCAATCTCCCGATCGCGACCGGATTCTATCCCTCACAAACCTGATCACCATCCCTACCCAAGTCCCATTTCCATCCAATATAAACGCTCTCCTTGCCATTGTTTCCCTGTCCCCCACAGACACAGAGAGAGAGAGAGTTACGAMCCCGCCAGGGCTCGATCCCTGGCCTGCGGGCCACAAGCCCGCCTGTAGCTTTTATTTCGTTTTTCTTTCTGTTCTTTTTCTTTTTGTTGATATTGTTGCATCACCTTTTCAGTTTGGTGCCCTTTTTCCAAACCCTCCTTTAGCACCATTGGATTTTGAACCCATCTAGCTCCCTCTAAAGACTCAGACACACCACATGAACAAAGAATCATGTGGTCCAGATGTGCCTGCGGGGTGACTACGGAGTCGGTAACCTTGGCCACCATTTGAGATGATGAGGGAACGTCTACCAACTCAACATGCGCAGAAGTGGTTACTACTCCTACGGGCCGGATGTGTATTCTCCGGGAACTGCTCGCAGTGCTTTCCCGAGTTGAAGATGCCTCATCATCTACTTGAAGTTGCACCCTTATGGTAACTAGCTTGTTTTGACATTGCACCTAGGTATGGTCGTACAAGCCACACGCTCGCAGAAATCTCTCACAAGTCAGTCTCCCCACACACATCCCTTGCAAGATCCTATCTAATCCGCATAGAATAAATAGGATCTTCCATTTTGACTCCTAGACTGGTTGTTGCGCTGCGTGCCAGTCTCCTCAGCCTTGTCAGACACGACCAACTCTCCTCCCTCGGAAGTCTTCTAGCCGCCGTCTTCTTTGTCCATCCCCCAGGATCGTAAAC